AAAGGGATGTACTGTTGAGCTGTAAAGGACTGGCGAGTATGACACGAGTGGCTCAGTATTTCCATAAGAGGATCATCAATGGAGAGAAGATCTATTGGTGTCAATGGAATGGATGTTCATTTAAGACGAAAAAGAGTCAGAAGATTGCGGAACACATAAACCTATCGCACATTGGAGTGGACTTCAAGTGCAATAAACCCAACTGTAATAAAGTGTTCAAAAACCCGCACTCATATCGCGAGCACCAGAAGAACCACATCTGCGGCTTCGGCAGCTTTGGCTACGGATCTAAAGGCGTGATCGGCGTCTGTCGTAATGAAAACCTCTTCAAATACAGGGAACGGGTTATAATTAAAGGCAAAAAGTACTACAGATGTAAGTGCTGTTACGCTATCACTAAATATTTCACGGGAATGAAAAGGTAATACATTTGTCGATTCATTGATTCATTGAATAATTGATTTCTTTATTCAATTTATTATTTGGTTCACACAAAAGGCATATTCATTCTCAGGTATGGTTTACTTATGTCTGTTTGGACAGTATTATGAGTTTTATGTTTTCCATAATCAGCACATCTGTCCGTTTCGTATGAATCTTCATCTGACACGACATCAGACACCGATGGCTATCAAACAGGAAATCATGGAATTGGACATTGNGTCCGTTTCGTATGAATCTTCATCTGACACGACATCAGACACCGATGGCTATCAAACAGGAAATCATGGAATTGGACATTGATTTCGATTTATTCAATAATCAGAGGTTTATCTGTTGTCTTAAATGTAACGAATTCTTTGAATCGAAGGAAGAGTTGAGAAAACATGAGATAATGTTGTGTCGGTTCAGGAATGAAGTGATTAATGAGAATCTGACGAATGAGATCCCAAATGAATTAAGTTTTGCAAATGTTTGCCAAACTAACGATGATTTCAAACCTATGCCTCAAAAGAATAGACTTAAACTAAGTGAACAAATCAGACAAAACGTGAACGCAATCAACGAAAGTATTGCTAAAAATCTGTCACTTAATAACCAAATGGTTCGATACAACCATCAGAATCAGGAATCACTCGAAGACTATATTTATCTCAAAGAATTTGAAAACACTGTTTACTATAAGTGTAAATATGACTCAGACTGCAGATTCTCCACTAAACTTAAGGACAAAATAAATGAACACATTTTGGACAAACATTTGCAAAATGGGTTCTCCAATGGGGGTCAGTATCCCAACGATTGTTTCGATAATTCGGAACAAAGCTCTATATTTGAGCCCAAGATTAAAGTCGAACCAATCGATTACGACGACAACGAAGGCATGCTTTCAATGGATATAAAGCCTTCGACTTCTGGCCTACAAAGTGGTCAAAAGAACTCAAGTATTGAGAAATACATTGAGATTAAGTGCATAGACGGCGATCCAAACTATTTCTGTGTTTATAATACACTTAAATGCAAGTATTATACGAAAGAGTACAGTGATATGAAGTCTCATATTAAAGAATCGCATGTTTTATATGAATGCGATGTCGAGAACTGTGGCAAAGAGTTCAAGAATCCGATGGCTTTAACCGCTCACAAAGCTAACCATATCTGCGGTTT